TATATATAGAACGAGAGAGAGAGAGAGAGAGAGAGAGAGAGAGAGAGAGAGAGATATTTATTTTAAGGAATTGGCTCATGGGATTATGGAGGCTGGCAAGTCCAAAATCTGCAGAGTGGGCCAGCAGGCAGGAGAGTCAGGAAGAGCCAATGTTTCAGTTCAAGTTCAAAGGCCATTTGCTGGCAGAATTCCCCCTTGCTCAGGGGAGGTCAGCCTTTTGTTCCATTCAGGCCTTCAACTGATTGGGTGAGGCCCACCAACACCTTGGAGAGCAATCTGCTTCACTCAAAGTCCACCGATGTAAATATTAATCTCAGTTATTTTCTTCTGAGCACTTTAAAGATGCTATTTCACAGTCTTTTGGCTTTCACTGTTGCTGTTGAAATTCTACTGTGCCTGGCTGGAGTGGCTTAGTTGGTTAAACATTGTCCCATGCACCAGGAAGTTCTGGTTCGATTGCGGGTCTAAGCACATGCATAGGTTGTGGGCTCAGTCCCTAATAGGGGGCATGCAGGAAGCAGAGATTCATGTTTCTCTCTCATCAATGTTTTTATCTCTCTCTTTCTTCCTTCCTCTCTCTGAAATCAATAAAGACATATTTAAAAAAAGAAAAAAAGAATTTCTGCTGTCAGCCCAGCTGCTATTCCTTTAGAGTTGATCTCCCTTCCTTTTTGGCTGATTTAAAGATATTTTGCCTTTGGTGGTTTGCAATTTCACTATGCTGTACCTAGGTGAGAATTTTTTGTTTGTTTGTTCTATTCAGTATACATTGTGCTTCTCTATCAATACCTATGTCTCACCAGTTCTGGAATATTTTCAGACATAATCTCTTCAAATATTGACTCTCTGTCCTTTGGGACTTCATCCAGACTTACATTAGCTCTTGGCATACTATTTTTTTTTTTAAATTTATTGGGGTGACAATGATTAGTATGAACACATGGGTTTCAGGTGTGGGTTTCTATGTTATAAGACCTGTATATTGCTCTGTGTGCCCACCACCCAAAGTCATACCTTCTCTCCTCACCATATATTTAGGCCCCCTTTACTCCCCACCTCCTTCCCTCTGACAACCACCATACTGCTGTTTATCTTTTGTATCTTAACTGCTCTTTTCTATTTTCCATCTCCTTATCCCTTGTGCTATATTCTTGATAATGTCTTTAGATTTATATTCCAGTTCACAAATTCCCTCTTCAACTGTGTCTAATTTGCTACCTAACACATTTGCTGAGGGTTTGTTTTTTTACAGCCATTTTATTGAAATATAATCCATATACTGTAAAATTCACCCTTGTAAAGCATACAATTCAGTGGTTTTTAGTATATTCACTGACCTGTGCAACCATCATTAACCATCTATTTTTAGAACATTTTCATCCCTGGAAAAGAAACCCCTTGACCATCAGCAGAAACTACTCGTTCTTTCCTTCTCCCAGACCCAGGCAACCACTAATCTACTTTCCATCTCTTTTGAATTTCTCTATCCTGGACATTTCATATAAAGAGAACCATACAATATGTGCTTCTTAATGACTTTAATTTTCACTTAACATAACTCTTTCAAGGTTTCTGTTGACCTTTTAATTTCAGTGAAAAGATTTTCATTCCTAGAGGCTCTATTTTTTCAGGTGAGCACGGTCAGTTCTGATAGTGTTCCTGCCTGTAATATATCTTAAGCCTGTAAACAGATGGATTTTATATTTTATATCTGACACCTTCAATTTAGAAAGTTTGTGGGGATTTAAATGCCACTCATCACTGTCTCTGCTGTGTTTCACTTTGGAAGCTTATTCCCTTTGGGTGTTTGCTGACTTCTGACTTTGGGGTCATATTTGAGTTCTTTTGGATCTGCAGAAACCCCAACCCCCAAGTCAGGGCTGCTTGTCCATCCCCTCCTCTGCCCTCACTCTGCTGGAGCAGCAGGAGAGCGGTGAGGTGTACAGGCTCTGGAGCCAAGTGCTTAGGTTCCAACATCAGCTGTGTCCCTGGCCACTGTGTCATTGTGTGCCCTTGGGCAGGGAGCTCAGCCTCTCAGTGCTGTGGTTTCTATAAGGCAGTAATGATGAGGACACCTTCTGTAGGGATGTTGTGTAATGAGATACACATCAAGGGTTTAGAGCACACAGTATGTGCTCAGTGAATGCTATGATTGGCACATCTCACTACGACAGATCAGAGATAATCATTGTCTAATGTAAGATTCAGGGAGGCAGGCCTGGCTGGGCGTGGCTCAGTGGTTGAGCATCGACCTAGGATCCAGGAGATCTCGGTTTGATTCCCTGTCAGGACATATGCCCGGGCTGCGGGCTCCATCCCCAATGACTCTCTTGTCATTGATGTTTCTGTCTGTCTCTCTCTCCCTCTCCTTTCCTCTCTCTGAAATCAATAAAGATATATTAAAAAGTATATATATATTCAGGGAGGCAGAAACCCTCTTTTCATCTTGTCCGGTCCCCAGGGTGGCGCTAGGCCAGCAGTGGGTAGTCCATAATAATAAATGAGGACAGTACCAAAGGAACGACCCCCACACCTGCGCCTCAGCTGTACTTACTCAGGGCGCAGCAGGGCCGGTTCGGGCCCGGGGGCGCAGGCGCAGCGCCTGTAATAGCTTTGTTGGGCCGGAAGGCTAGAGACACGGCTAAGACCGCAGCCCAGGCGGCAGAGGGCGCTGATGTCCTGCCCCAAACTGGGACTTGTTGGGGGGGGCTGGACAGGGCAGTCCTAGGGGTAGCTGGGGCTGCGGGTGGTGGTCCTCAGGGGTGCTCAAGAGAGAACAGCCCCGAACGAGTGGAGCCCGGATGGGGCTGAGGAGGGGAGGGGCCCCGGGCGGCGAGTGCACCAGCGCCTCGCACGTTGCCTCCCTCCCTCCCTGCGTCTTTGTGCGTTTTGCTCCGTCTCTCAGTAAACGTCCTTCCGAGAAATTCCAAAGGGATCTCAGCCAGGCAGAGGGGTGGAGGGAGCAGGAACTGGAGAGGGCGGGAGCCCGCTCTGGGCACGGGCCCGCGCAGGCCAGCGACCGGCCGAGACC